TAAGGGACAGTTTGCTTTTGTTATTTTTCAAAAAATCTTTTACAATTATTCTTGCTAATTCGAATTGTCTTTCAATATCTTCAGAAAGAGTTTGAGAACAGGGGATTTTATAGTGCGGGTTAAGAGTAGAAATGAAGTTACTGAAGGAATTGTCTTCTACAGTTGATAAAGGTTGATTCCTAATTACAATCTATCGCAATAAGTTGCGATTTAATAACTTTACATGACATTCTTTAGCAATTAAGTTTAAGTAATTTTTACACATATCACAGAGATTGAAAGTTTCAAAGCTATCGGATTCGCTAAGATATTCATAAGCTGGTCTTTTTTTTGATTGAACCATAAGAGAATGTTGAGAGAACAAGATGGAAGAATTTTCAGACAAGTGAGATGACATTATCAAATTTTTTAGAGATAACGAAGTAACAAATAAGCGAATTGGTGAAAAAAAAAGAATTTATTCAATTACTATTTTTTTTTAATTCGAATAGGCAAATTAGTGGAAGAAAGAGAATTTATGCAATTATTGTTTTTAATTCGAATAGACGAATTAATGAACAGGCAAAGGAAGAAATGTGTCCTTATATAATAATTTGAGAAGGTATATAATTAACCTTTTATTAATATTATTTTCTTTAGCATCTTAATAATTGAAGGCATGATTACTGTAAAATCGCGAAATAATGTATGCCAAATGTATATTATTGAGTATCTGTGCGCTTTTTAGAAGTATGTATAGATGCGTTACTAGAAGCAATTAGTCAATTTCTGAGTTTGACTATTAACTTATTGATTGTTATTGGGAGGTCCCAATTGGGTATGATTATTTATAGTTAGTGTGTAACTTTCACCAATACTACTTAAATGGTTAGGCGTTGGTGATTTTCTTGTTTAAGTAAAAGTTGCATAAATGAAAAGTATGTATTGGAATTTAGAATTGTTAATTATTTATTGCATTGCAGCTTTAGGATTAACAAACAGTCTGCAATTATCAACGTTTAATTTACCATTGCATTTGGTTTGTCGTGATTTGCAAATACCCTATTGATCGCTCAAGTGATAATTATCACTGCCAATTGCGATTGTAATTGTGTAGTAGTGAATGCTTCTACTACGCTTAAGAGCATCAAATGATCTTTTAAAGGAAAAATAATAAATCAGATCAAATTTGCACTTATTTTTATCACAATCAATCGATTGTGTTAATGATCATCACTTGGATAATCAATGGAATAGGGAATTTTGCAATCGCGATAATATCACTTAAATAATTAAGGATTGTATGGATTTCCTTGTTTAAATAAAAGCTGCATAAATAAAGATATATAATTGGGATTTAGAATAGTTAATTATTGTAGCTTTATTATTAAACTGGGGATTAACAAACAGGCTATGATTATCAACGTTCAATTTCCCATCGCACTTGTTCCAACACTAAGTGCCGGCATGATTGTATGGATTTTCTTGTTTAAGTAAAGTTGCATAAATAAAAGGTATGTAATTAGAATTTCGCATTATTTACTCAACCTGATTGATCATAGAGATCACAATCCCAACTGGAAATTGGGTGAAAACAAGACAAATATTGTTACCATATTATTGCTCATTATTTTGGAATGTGCATAAGCGTTATTTTGGAACTATTTATGCTATTCTCGTCGCCAGAGCCGGTGCACACACGAAGAGTATAAAGAATTTTATTATAATTTAAAATTAGTATTAAAAAATTTTATGTAATAATTGTAATTAAGTTTTATTTATTTTTTATTAATAAACATATATTTAAAAAAATAAAAAAAATTCGAATATAAAAGTTGGCTCATTTTTCATTAAAAAAAAATAAATTTAAAATTGTTTCATCTCTTTTCAATATTGATCTAATCTATTAACACCATGTCTGTTAAAACAATCGAATCTTATTTTAATAATACACAAAATTCTTCTAAAAGCATTAATAATCGGAACCAAACTAACAACAAATTAAAAAATAGACAAAAAAAAAATCCTGTACCTATTCACAATTACCTTGAGATGCTTGAAGATGGCACTCGTATTTGTAAAGTCTGTGATAAAGATAAAGGTGTTGTAGGTAAATGGGGTCCACTCACGTCGTTAATGCCTATAATGCGCTACTTTGAACAAAAACATCCAAATACTTTTAAAGTATTTGGAAAATTTGCTGCAAAACTTGTTCGCCATTCTCCGTATTCAATTGCTGATAAGAATCACGTAGAATTATTAGACCGTAATCTATTGGAGTTTATTATTATTAGTAAACAGCCTTTTTCTCTCTTGGAAGAGAATTGCTTTGCTAAATTTGTTTCCACTCTTGACCCATGTTACAAGATCCCCTGTCATCAATCCATGTCTGAAAATATTAAAAAGCTATTTGAGTTAGAAAAAATAAAAGTAAAAGACCTTTTAAAAAATAATAAAAGTAAATTAGCCCTTACTCTAGATGTACTCAGCAGCCCTTTCTTGGAGTTACCGTCCATTGGGTTAATGTCAAGTGGATATTGCATACTATTCTTCTAGATTTTATCCCTTTACATAACGCTCATACTGGTGATTACCTTAGAGAAAAGATTCTTGAGCTTGTAAAGAACTTTGATATTAAAGAAAAAATAATCAGGTTCACAGGTGATAATGCGCCTAATAACCAAACTTGCCTGTGTTATCTTCAGCAACATATGAACTCTGAACTTATATATGTACGCTGTGTAGTGCATGTTCTAAATCTCATAGTAAAAGAAGGTCAAAAACTATATTTAAGTCAGATAAAAAAAACACGACATTTATATAATAAAATTAGAAATTCACCATTGCTCTTAGAGGATATTAAAAAAATATCTGCTATTCTAGATCGTCCACCTCTTTATCCTGAGCTTGACATTGATACAAGGTGGAATTCTACCTACCTTATACTTAAACGATTTGTTGAAATTAAGGATGTTATTGATAGTCTTGTATAATCACATCCTAATTTGAGAAGTGAATATTTAGAACAAAATGACTGAGATATAATTAAAGACATGTTAAATTTTCTTTAGCCTTTTTATGACGCGACATTAATACTTTCAAATGTCTCATTACCTTCCCATGAGTCTCTACGAGTAATTGTTCAAAGTTTTTTTGCTCACCTAAATGATTCTATTTTAAATAATAATACATATTGTGAAATAGCAAAAGGAATGAAAATAAAGCTGAAAAATTATTGGTCTCATCTTTTACAATCTTCTATGATTCCTGCACTCCTTGATCCGTTGACTAAACTTGAAACCTTTAACGAAGAGGAACGCCAGTTAGCTATAAACCAGTTGAGAATTTTATGTTCAATGTATAACATTAATAAGGTGGTTATGTCACCTAAACAAGGATGTTTATTAGATAGTTTTCGTAAACTAATTTGAATGAACAAAAATGAAAATGAAAATTTAGGAGATTTAACGAATGAAATAGGCACTTATCTTGCATTACCCTTAGAGCCAGATATGAGTCCACTAATGTGGTGGAAACACCATTCTTCTCGCTTTCCAAATATAGCTTCTGTCACAGCAGATTACTATGCACTTCAAGTCACAAGCGTTCCGTGTGAACGTGCCTTTTCTGTTGCGAATCATACAATTAATCTTACACAAAACCATCTTCTCGAACAAATGGCTAGAGCTTCCTTGTGTTTAAAAAATTAGTTGGAAGCTAGTGTTTTAGAATGAATAAATAAAAACATGTACTGAATATATTAGTTATGGATATTACAGTATGAAT